GGTCTCGGAGATATCCAGGTCCGATGCCATGGAGCGCTTTGAAGGTGATAACCAACACCTTGAAGCGCACCCGGAAAGCCACCGGCAGCCAGTGCAGCTCGCGCAGCAACGGTGTTACATGGGAGCGACGAGTCCCTCCCAACACCGCCCGCGCGGCCGCATTCTGGACCAGTTGAAGCCTCCGAGTGCTCCTCAAGGGAGCTGTCATAAATCACGTTCTCCAATCAGTTTGAAGGGCAAAGTTTCCCTTCCATTCTGTAGCCGCAGTTTCTTATCTTAATTAATCCCCACACACATTCTTTCTCCTCCCCTCCCAGCATCATTTAATTTAACTCTAAAAGCAGCACACAGCTTATACAGAGAGTGTCTGCCTCTTCATATTTTGTCAAAGCAAGAACATCCAATGTTAGCAGCGTTGACAGAAATTTAGTTGCCCGCTCTCAAAGCGAAACACATACATGACACATGCCTAAGCATACTATATATAACATATGTATAGACCCATACCCCTACATATACATAACAAATAAATATTAAATACTGTCCATCTTGAATATATAACGGAAGGAGGAAGCTTGAGAGTTCACAAGGTTAATGCTGTATGGAATGAAACTATGGCTGAATCTGGATCTTCTGCTACAGATACCACGAAGCCTCCTCCCAGAAGGTAACAAGGAAAACAGGTCATGAAGAGGATGTGTAGTGTCCCAGATAATCTTACGGACCCTGCTCAAGCCGCGCTTCTGTGCTATGTCCTGGATGGGAGGGAGGGAACTGCCAATGATCTTTTCGGCCATCCTCACCACTCTCTGCATCGCCTTCCTGTCTGAAGCAGTGATGCTTCCAAATCAGACTGTGATGCTGTATAACAGGATGCTCTCGATTGTCCCCCTGTAGAAAGTGGTAAGGATAGGAGAAGGAAGATGTGCTTTTCTCATGCGATACAGAAAATACAGGCGCTGCTGTGCCCGCTTCACCAGTGTCTCACTGTTGAGCGACCAAGCCAGCCTACACGTTAGCTGCCCACCCAGGAATTTGATGCTGGTAGCCATCTCCACAGGTGAATCATTAATGCATAGAGAAGTGTGGCTGTGCCTGCCTTTTCTGAAATCGGCAATGATCTCTTTGGTTTTTCTGGTATTTAAAACTAGGTTGTTTTCCTTACACCAGTTCACCAACCCCTCAACATCCTTGTGGTAAGCTTCCACATTGTTATCATAAATAAGGCCCACTACTGTTGTATCTTCTGCGAACTTCACAATATGGTTAGTGGCAAACCTAGCACAACAGTCATGGGTCAACAGGGTGAACAGCAGCAGACTTAGGACGCAGCCCTGAGGAGAACCTGTGCTCAAGAAAATGGTATTAGAGGTATTTGTTCCAACTCGCACATATTGGGGCGGTTGGTAAGAAAATCAAGAATCCAGTTGCACAAAGGGGTGTTTAAGCCTAAAAGGCCTAGTTGTCTACTAGATGCTGAGCAATGATTGTGTTAAACGCCGAACTGAAGTCGACAAACAACAAACGCACATGAGTATTTCTTTCCTCTAAGTGCTTCAAGCTCAGATGGAGAATGGAAGAAATAGTATCCTCCATAGAGCGATTTGGTCGGTAGGCAAACTGACCAAACTGACTCTCTCTCTCTCTCTCTCTCTCTCTCTCTCTGTCTCTGTCTCTCTCTCTCTCTCTCTCTCTCTCGCTCGCTCTCTCTCTCTCTCTCTCTCTCTTTTTTTTTTTTTTTACAGGGGAGCTATGTTCTTGCAGACCTGCGTTCTGTTCTTCTTGACCCTGAACAATGGGAGACCCCTGAGGAATTCAATCCAAATCACTTTTTAGATAAGGATGGGAAGTTCATTGAACGAGAAGAGTTTCTGTCCTTTGGAATAGGTATGTCCATGAGCCCAAAGCAGCTTATAACTCAGTGATGGCGAACCTTTTAGAGACCGAGTGCCCAAACTGCAACCCAAAACCCACTTACGCATCATCGAGTGCCGGGTGGGTGTGGCCCATTGTCTGGGTGTGGTCCATTGGCTGGGCGTGGCCAATTGGGTGGGCATGGCCACAGTGGTAACGGCAAACTGGGTGGGACTAAAAAGTTCAATCAATCAATTCCAACTTTGCAAGATCTTTTTTTTCCCCGCGAGAAATTGAAATTGACTGATTGAACTTTTTTTTTTTTTGCACATGGCGGTGGAGACCTAAAGTGAAAAGGTTTGATAAAACCCAGCTGAAGGCCTAGGAATGGGGCAACGGCACGCGTGCCCACAGAGAGGGCTCTGAGTGCCACCTCTGGCACCCGTGCCATAGGTTCGCCACCACTGTTATAACTCATAGGAAAGCTAAGACCCAAAGTGAACCACAACTGGCAACTAATACTAAAATTAACAACAATAACAACAACAACAACAAAAATCTTATTTCAATATGTAAGAAACAAGAAGAAATTCAAGGAAATGATGGGTCTAGTAAAGGAAGTCAAAGGCAAGAAAATGACAGGCCACAGGAAGGAAGCAAAACTGATTAAGTCCTTCTTTGCATATGTTTTTATGCAAAAGGAGAAAATAGTCCAAGCAAAGCAACACTGAGGGAGATAGATAGAACAGGTACACAAATCAAGGCAGGCAAGGACGTAGTAAGAGAACACCTATCCACCCTGGATGAGTACCCATCACCTGGACCAGATGGTCTGCATCTCAGTTTCTGAAGGAGCTGGCAGATGTAACCTCAAAGCCTCTGAATGAAATCTTTCAAAGTTCCTGTAGCACAGAGGAACTAGCAAAGGACTGGAAAAGAGCTGATGTGGTACCAATCTACAAAAAGGAAAAAACATGGATCGAGGAAATTATAGGCCTATCAACTTGACATCCGTACCTAGGAAAATCCTGGAAAAGATAATCAGGTGGAGAATAAGCGACCACCTAGAAATGAAGAGGGTGGTCACTTTAAGCCATTATCTGTTTTTTAAAAACAAATTGTGTCAGGCAAACCTTATTGCCTTCTTTCCTAAAGTGATTAAATTAGTGGACCAGTGAAATGCTGTAAACATAATATGCTTGGACTTCAGGAAGGCATTTGATAAAGTAGACTACAGTCTACTGATTGATAAGATAGAAAAATATGTGATACACAGTGCCACCATCGGATGGATTTCAATTGGCTGTGCTTAATGGTGAGAAGTTGACTTCCCTCTTGTAGGCCCATCTCTAGAAAAACATACCACCTCAGTTTTGTCATGGGTGTATAGTGTGGCCTTTGAAATGATCTACCATATAGTATAATTTCTGTTAAAATCATGCATTAAGAGGTGTTCACAAACAGAGGAAAACTGAGAAAATAACTGTAGGAATTGAACTTGCTAGAAGCGATCGGGATACAATTTGGAGATCAGAATATCAGAATAACAGAGTTATACCATTTCAAACAAATGATGGTCAAATCTCTTCTTAAAAACCTCCAGTCTTGGAGCACCCATAACCTCCAGAGGTAAGTCATTCCACTGATCAATTGTTCTTACTGTTAGGAAATTTCTCCTTTGTTCTTGATTGGTTCTCTCCTCCTTGTCTCATCTATAGGTCGGCGTGCATGTGTGGGACAGGAGCTGGCAAGAATTGAGACCTTCATCTTTCTGACCAGACTGTTGAGGGCCTTCAGCTTCCGGTTGCCTGAAGGAGTGAAAGAACTCAGTGAAGCATCTATTGCAAAGGTCACAGTGCATCCACAGCCTTACAAACTGTGTGCTATTCCCATACAGGCTTAAACATATAAATTTCCATAAAAAGCATAAGACTAATTATAGAATAGTTATTCAATGTGGTAAATGCAAATGTTTACTTTGTGCCTTTTCACTTAATATAATGTTTTGATTCCTTTTATTCTGCATTGTCTATCAACCTGTTGCTGGCCTCACACAGCTTACTGAACCAAGTCTATGAAAGACTAGGAAGTTGTATATGAAAAAATATGCTAAGTAAGTTTGTTATGCTTTCCCTTTGTTTTCTTTGGGTGCCAAGAAAACATATCATTTTCCATTTAGTCTTAGTACCTTTTTGAGTTTTAATAAATTTCTCCTACAGGCTTCATGTTAACCAGCCAGAGCAAACTTCATAGATAATCCAAAATTATGCTGACATGCTTGAAGGGATGAAATGATGTTGACAGAATTAACAGAACATGAAAAGGTGTGCCAACCAAAACATTTTTCATCCTATACTTAGACCTAAACCTAGACCTGATCCAAATATAGGCTTTATCTAAAAATCTCCTGTTGTTACAACCTAATCATTTTCTCTGCAACCTTCCCCAAAAGAGAAGATTTTTACTAGTATTGCTCCAGCTGTCTTTTCTGGCAATTCCTCTCCCAGAATTCTTTGATAATTCAATAGGTACTACTGGTAAATGAAGGACATGCCAGGCTTCTGGAAAATTCCCCAAATGGCTCCTGAAAACCAGTTGGATATGAATGATATGAACTATATAGAACATGAGTGATAACAGAAAGCTTCCTGGTATATGGAATGTGATCTGATCATGAGGGATGCTAATGTCCTTGAGGTTCAGCTCACATGCTTGCTGAGAAAAACCAGAACAAGTGTGTGTTGCCCTCAATATGAGGATCATGATAACCTTTTGGTTTTGTCTTGGTGGACCTGAATTTCTGAGCGACCCAGATCCTGTTATGATGGCCTAGAAATTGACATTTCTGATTATAAGACTGGATCAATTTACCAACATCAGGGTAATGAGGTTAAAGTCCTGGATAGTAAATATGATAAAAACAATATATAGTAACCAGACAGCAAAAGTGATAGTGAATGGAGATTATACTGAGAGCTTTGAGATAAGAAAAGGCACGAGACAAGGGTGTCCATTATCTCCATTGTTATTTATCTTTATTTTGGATGTTCTAAATAGAAGGATAAGACAGGATACAGAAATTAAAGGATTGAAAATAAAAGATGAAACATATAAGTTACAAGCATTTGCTGATGATCTAGTATTTATCTTGGAAGAACCTTTAGAGATGATTCCTAAACTATGGGGAAAGATAGAAGAATATGGAGAAATGGCAGGACTAAAAATAAATAAAGAAAAAACTAAAGTAATGGTAAAGAACCTCACAAATAAACAAAAAAGCAATTACTAGAGAAAACAGAGGTACAAATAGTGAAAAAAGTTAAATATTTAGGTATTCATCTTTCAGCTAAGTGTTCGTCAATAAAAGAAGACAATTATATAAAATTATTGAAGCAAGTAAAGCTAGACTTGGAAAGATGGAAAAATCTCCAGCTGTCAATATTAGGAAGAATTGGCACAGTAAAAATGAATGTGTTGCCGAAGATTTTATTTCTATTTCAAATGATTCCGATAAAACTTGAGAGAAAATTCTTTCAAGATTTAAATTCGTTGGTTTTGAACTTTATTTGGCAGGAGAAAAAAGCTAGAATTACGATGAAAACATTACAAGATGCTAAGGAAAATGGAGGTTTTGGGTTGTCGGAATGGACGTTGTATTATCAAGCATCTGTGTTAACATGGGTGAAAAAGTGGATAACACTCAGAAATAAAAGGTTATTGTATTTAGAGGGACATGATTTACAATTGGGGTGGCATGCTTTCTTATGGTACGGGAAAAACAGAGTCCATAAGTACTTTCAAAATCATTTTATAAGAAATGCCTTGTTAACAGTATGGGAAAAAATTAAAGCTAAAATATATTCAAAAATTCCAGGGTGGTTATCAACGATGGAGGCATTTATACATCCGAACCTGGTAGACTTTGAAAAAATATGGACATATAAAGATATTTTAGATATTGATAGGAAATTAAAATCTAAACAAGAATTGGAAATTCAGGGAATTAACCTGTCCTGGTGGGCACATTTACAGATACAAAGTAGATATGAAAAAGATGTAAAAATGTATGGATTTTACAAGGATCAAACTGTGTTTGATAAGATTTTGTTAACCTCAGATGAGAAATTAATTAAGAAAATGTATAACTTTTTGTTAATTTTAGATATGGAAAGTGAACAAGTGAAAGAAACAATGATAAGATGGGCAAAAATTTTTGGTTATAATATAGAATTAGAAAAATGGCAAATGTTATGGGAGAGAAACTATAAATTAACAATGTCAACTTCATACAAAGAAAATCTGTATAAAATGTTTTATAGATGGCACCTCCCACCAGCAAGATTAGCAAAAATGTTTAAAAATATGTCAGATAGATGTTGGAAATGTAAACATAACATAGGCACATATTACCACATTTGGTGGACATGTGGTAAGGCAAAGGCCTATTGAAAAAATATACATATGTGGTTAGAAAAAATATTGGGCGAACAAGTGGATTTTAAACCTGAACTTTTTTTACTAGGTATTATGCCTGAAAAGACTAATAAGCAGAAATTATATTTAATTTTACACATCACTACAGCAGCGAGAATAATTTTTGCACAATACTAGAAGAATGAAGGACTGCCATCAGAGGAAGAAATAATCAGGAAAATACTGGAATGTGCAGAGATGGACAGATTAACTATGAGGTTGAAAGATAAAGAAGATACAGACTACTATCAAATTTGGAATTTATTTTATTCTTGGTTAGAGAAAAGAATGAAGGATTAGGAATTGAACATGTATTAGCATAGCAACTCCAGACAACTTGTTGATTGGAAAAATTAACATATGTTGATGAAAAACAAATTAATAAAAAAATTTATTAAAAAAAGAAAAAAAGTCCTGGGTAGTGAGGAAGGCAGTGGTGGGATTCAGCCAGTTTGCATCGGTTTGGTAGAACCAGTAGCTAAATTTTGTTGAGTTCAGAGAACCAGCTGAATACCTATGCCACTTCTGGAAGTCTGTTCTAGGCCTTAGAGGCCTGGAGGAGGTCTCCCAGGCCTAGAATGGCCCACTGGAAGTGCATTGACGTCACTTCCGGAAGTCTGTTCTAGGCCTTGGAGGCCTGGAGGAGGCCTCTCAGGCCTAGAATGGCCCACAGGAAATGCATTGATGTCACTTTTGGAAGTCCATTCTAGGTCTCGGAGGTCCAGGCCTCCATCCATGCAGAGAACCAGAAGTTAAGGTATTTGAATCCCACTGATAGATTGCTAGCCAACAGCATCCGACCGACATACATTAGAAATTAGAATCAGTCCAAAACCTGAAACAGGATATCATTTTCTTTAGAAAATGATACAAAATGAAACTTGTCAAAAGATATAATAGAAATAATCACAAAAGAAGCCCAGACCTATAAACTAGCCATCACGGATGCAGACGCACCCAGGAAGGGTGGGGAATGCCTCGAGGAAACGACCATTATTCTTTCTTTTAAGGGATAAGCCAAGCCGAATTTTAAAATACCAAGGAAGAGGTTTTTGTTCTCTTCTCTCACTCTCCTCCCCCTGCCCTGAGCAATTCTGGGCTGACAGCCAAGAACCATTTAGTCAAAAGAAACACCCTGAGGGCAAGAAACCACTGTGGGAAGTCAGCCCTTGAGCTCAAACCCAAAACTCCCTTTACTACCCTGGCTCCACATGGGCAGGGCCTGGGAAACCCATCCACAGACATAAGGGGTCTGCTGCCGGCAAGATGGGGCTTACCAGTCTCAATCCATTGGGGAGGTTAGCTTGGAGTCCCATCTGGGGTGCCAAATTGTTGAAGGAAAAGTCTTCATCATGGTTCAGTCCAAGCCGGGGATAAACAACACGGTGACTGCTTTAGAAAGAAGGTTGCAGTTTATTGAAGAGGAGAGCCAGACAGGAAGATGGTTCTGGCAGAAAAGAGAGAAAAAAGGGCTGAGCACATGGAGGGTTTTTATACCCTCTGGAGCCTTTTGTTTGGAGTGGTTCCTGTGACATGAACTTTGACATGAGTATGAGTGTGCTTTTCTGGTATTCTGATGGTGATGGGTTAATCCTATTATCCTGCTTCCCTGGGGCTGGGGCTAATGACTCTTAGAGTTTGGGTGAGGCATGCAGATTTTAGGTGTCTTTGTCTTCTTAACCTCCTAGCTTCAACCGTCCTGATGGTTTACATCTGCATTTGTACAGAGCTGGCTTCTGCTTGGGGGAGGGAGACCTGGGGCTATTAAAAAAAACTGGGCATATTTTTCTGCCTCTTCAAGATCCTTTGAGGAAATATATTTTCCTGCCCTTTTAATATTTCCTTCTCTGAAGGGCTGACTTCCCACACCACAAACACGTGCCTCGTATAAACAATCAATCCCATCAATCCCACTAGATAGGAATAACGTAATGTTAACAATATTAACACAAAACACATATAGAAACCCATTTACATGAATAAAACCATCTCCTTAGGACAAGATTAACTTTTCCCGGTCTAAACAAACACAAACTAAGGAAAATAAGGGGAACAAATACCTTTACAAAGTCTAAATCATAATTTTAATAACCCCAGGGGTATAAAAGCTGGGGCCCTTAATACACTCAGCTTGGAAAATCACTAGCTAGTCCAGAAACCACCGCTGTGCCACTACTTCGTCCGGTTTCTGCAATAAAATCTACTTTCTGGCAGCTTGCTTCGTCTGGTATCAATTCTTCTGTCTGAGCTGAAGGTCTGCTTCCCAGTTGGAAAACTGAACCAGAAAAAATTCTTCTCCCACCACCACCACTGGAGTAAGGCATTATATCAGCAATACTTGCCGCTTATACTTGATTCCTTAAGCAGAGCTCACACCAGCTACGTATGGAACAAAGCATTCAGATATCATCAAGTTGTCCAAGATGTTCATTTCCATCTCTCTTTCCTTGCCTTGGAGTCATGGCTAGTATAATAGCTGAAATCCTGGCTGGAGAATCTCAGACAGTAGCACACCTGATTTGCATGGATCTTCATCCCAAACAAA